GTGTTTCCTGAGAACCTAAGAGAGGGAAAAGGGCACGATTTTTAGTGCTTTTAATGGGTGAACAATTTTTACCAAATATATAGAAAAGGCTCATAAACCAATGTCTACACAGCCCTGGGTGATGTTTGGTGGATTCTTTAGTCATTCAATATTAGGCACGTTTCTGGATTTATGTCCTAACTATTCTTAGTGTGTTGTCATGTGGTATCTTTTTATATCTAAAGGAGGATTATTTTTTAAAAACCTTAAAAACGTGGAGATTCTATTAGACACTTAGGATTAAGTCACTCAGTTACTTTGTGAGTGGCTTTTTGCTTTTTTAATGGGAAGTATCTCTACAGTTCCCTGATTTTTTAAAAATTTAGGTTAATGAATTACTTTTCACACTTTTGCTTTCTTTTATCATTTGATGAATTGTATTCTTTGAAAAATGACATCTTAGTTACTTTTTCTTCTTTTGCATGTGGATGAGGAAGCCACTTAGCAAGGGGGACTGTGTGCTAGGACTAGACCTCGTGTCTTCTCACTTGGAATCTAGAGCTAATTTCTCTAGATCCTTCCAGTTAACAATGCACCTGCTGGTCTAAAATGTTCAGGAAAGCCCAGAAAGAGCATGTTAAAAGAACTTACTAATTCCCTTCAAAATTCCTGAATTTTAAATGGGCATTTGCTTGCAAGCCATGCAAATGCTGATATTTGCTTTAGATAGCCTCTCTTCTATGCATGTTGTCCTTTCCATCCAGAAAATGAAAGCGGCTCAAAGTAACATGTCAGAAAAACATGTACTATTTTCTAGGCACAATTATGAATTTTAGAGGTTTAGGCCATTAGACTCTGGCTTTTAAAAAATTCAATATTGCCTTGCAAAGTTCATCAGAGCATGCACTGGAAACCATTCAGCCTGGGTTCAAATCCTCTGTCACTTACAAGCTGTGAGATCTTGGGCAAGTGATTTAACCTCTCAGTTTCCTCATCTGTGAAATGGACAAATTATCAGTACTGACCTCACCGGGTTGGTATAAGGATTGCATATGTTAATCCAAGTCAAATGCTTAGACCATTGCCTGGCATATAGTAACACTATGTTATTAAGTCACAGACTTTATTGTGAGAAATGGGGAACACACAGATCTTGGAGTCTTTCTTCAGAGACCCAGAAAACAGCTCTTTTCCCCAAAGTGTAACAACAGGAGAAACATCCAGCTGGGCTCTCCAGGCTGTAAACTATTTTATCTTTCAAACCTTCCTGCTTATTCATCTAGTTTCAACCCTCATTTCATCTCATTTGGTCCAGAGCAATAGACTCCTGACTGACCACTCACTTCCATTCCTCTGGCAGCCCAGAGCCATCAGTGGCCCCCACTGTCCTTCCGTGATGTTCCCACATGGCTCCCACCTGACATGTTCTGCGTCCTCTTACCAGTCAGTTGGGTTACTTACTAGTCATTTATTCATCACTTACTGGGGTGATGAAAAGCCAGGCTCTGCTTTCAAGAAGCTTGCTATAGAGTGGGGCAACAGACATACATTATTAATTCCTAGGATTAAAATGGCTAAATTAAGTTGCAACCAAAATTTGGTTTGCAAAAGGAGCAATAAATTCTACCTGTTGGAGGGGTGTGGGAGTCATGGAAGTCCTCACAGAAGGCAAAGAAAGGACCACGTGGTGTAGGGAGAACTTTCCTTTACAGCTTTGTTGAGGTATAACTGAATACAATAAGCTGCACCTTTAAGTGTACTGTTTGGTACATTTGACACTTGTGAAACCATTACCGCAATTAAGCTAATGAACACATCTATCACTCCACCAAAGGTTCCTCCTGCTCCATCACAGTCTCTTTCTCCAATTCCTCCACCCCCATCCCCACCAGGCAACTGCTGATCTGTTGTCACTATAGATGAGTTTGCATTTTCTAGAATTTTATGTAAGCGGAACTATTCAGTAGGCACTTTTTTCTTTCTGGCTACTTTCACTCATAATGATTTGGAAACTCATTCATGTCATAATGCATATCAATAGTTAGCTCCTTTTCATTGCTCAGTAGTATTCTATTGAACGGGAGTGCCATGGTGTGTTTATCCATTCAGGTGTGGATTGACATTTGAGTTGTTTCCATATGTTGACTATTAGAAACAAAGCTGTGAACATTTCTGTGTAAGTCTTTGTATGAACAATGCTTTCATTTCTCTAGGATAAATAGCTAGGATTGAAAAACCTGGATCATATGGTAGCTGGTCCAGTCAACATTTATTGGATGCAAGTTTAGCTTTTAGAAAACTTTTGAAGCACTAAGAAACTGTCGACTGCTTTCCAAAATGGCTGCCCCATTTTACGTTGCCTCCAGCAGCATATGAAAGTTCCAGTTGTTCTGGATGTTTTCTTTGATGAGGAAACAACATGAGGATCAAAGTGTTCAGGGAACATCAAATAATCCTCATTGAGTGCATTGAGTGATGGTGAGCCACAAGGCAGCAATTTTATTTCAGGCCAGCATTCCAGGTGATGGACTCACTGAAGGCTCTTGTGGAGGGACTCTGGGATCTGGCCCCTATATCTGGACATTCCATGCAGTTTCCCATCATTACACTATTTTCTCTCTCATGCTGTTTCCTTCCCTAGAATATATCCATCTACTGTCTTGGTACCATATTGGTGTGATCTATGGAGACCAAGACCCAACTGAAATGCTGCCTTGTCTCCAAGTTCATCCCTCATTTCTAAGTTTCTTTAACCATTTTTTTGAACTTCATTCATGGCCCCAAGTTGCGCTTGTATTATAGGTGCGTCCCCTATTCATCTGAGCTCTCTCTAACAGCAGAGAGGAGATATCATTCACGCAACATCACCCACAAGACCAGTCTCATTTAGAAGATGTATCTACAGACACTTCTCTTTTGGTCTGATCTTTATGCAAAGTCCAAACTAAAATAACATTTTAAATCAACGAAAGTATAAATCTCATTGCTCATTTTGCCGAGACCAAAATGAGAATATGTGGACTGATTCCAAGGAGGAAAGAATTACTTTGCCTCTCTCCCAGCTTCAGTTGGCTTAACCATTTTGTCCCTGATCTTTTGCTTTTTTATGCTCACCAGGTCTCCCTCATTCAAGTGTGGAAAATTATGTAATTAGTGAAAGAGCAACAATTTTGCTGAGAAAATGGTTATGGTGTTTATGGAAGTTCAATGGCTCAAAATGTCTAAGAAAACCATTTAATGGGCCTAGAGAAAGAAAGCAGAACTGGGCTCCAGCCAGCTCTACAAAAATAGGGAGAGCTAAGAAGCAGACCCCATAAAGAAGACCATTTTGAGGCACTGCCTGGGTGCCAGGTGCCCATCCCTAGTGGGGAGGGGCCTCAGTACCCATTTCTCTCTCCTCTGCATTGACACAGAGCAAAATAATCAGCAACAGTGAAAAAGTTCCCAGAATATGGTTATGTGGCTTTAAACAGTCTGATCTACACCTTTGCTAGATTCCTATCTTTGCCATCTCTTTCCCAATTTTCCCAACATTCAAGTCTCTCTAGCAAGAACATTGAACCTAACTGTTATTCTATGAAAACCTACTGTGATATCCAAGAATTAGACTATGCAGTTTGCCTTGAATCATTTTAGCAACTGAACCAAAATATTGATAAAAAGTGTTGTTTTATCTTAGGCTCTGTAATTTGGTTTGGTATAATGTATTTCACTTCCTCTGTGCCCAACCAGGTGCTTCAAAATTCTAGCCTCCGTTGAGGAGGACATTCTTTCCAGAGAATGTCATCCTTTCCTTTAAAGTGACTGTTGGACAGGGGAAATAACAAAATATTGTGCCAGGGACTGGGTTACTTTAGTTTTTAAACTGCCCTGGCCCTGGAAAGTTCTGCACTTTTGACATTAAGTCAATATCAGGAGCACACCAGAGGCCACTACTACAATTTGCATTTTGTGATGTATTTTCTATCATTCGAAAGTCAATGGGACTACGGTGAAATTTCCTCTGGGGTGTTCCATGGGCACCTCACCTGGGCTATTGCTCAGTCATCTTGTTTTGTTAATTGTTTGCATCTCTGATCACGGTGGCCAAAGGATGAGAGGGGAGTGAGGCAACTTGAAATGCCCCCTTCCTTCAGAACAGTCAGAAGAAATGAAGCTTGTGAATCTAGTTGGGGGCAGGCAAGAGGATTCTAGATGGGAAGATTAGTAGAGATACTTCTTCACTATCCTGAAGCTGCATGAGAATTCAATATAGGTCCCCATCTGTTTTGTTAAATTGACAATTTCCTTTAGCAGGAAATAAAGGTTCATACTGAGCTTCAGACTAACTACAGAGTAAGAAACAGATTCACTTTTTAAAGACTTGGCTTTTTAAGGCATTCAGCATGTAACCTAATTTCGTTTGATGGAGTTTGTTTTTCCTTCTGCATTTGCTGCCTAGAAATGTGTGCTTCATTATGTCCTGCAAAGTTTGAGTTGTGTTGGGGTTTGAAGGGGAAGGCTGGAGACTCAGAGTTCTCTGGGCCTCAAAGCACCTAAAAATAAAATAAAATAATATTAAATAAAACTAAAATAAGTGATAAGAGCAGTCATCACAGTGGATTTTCTGTTTCAAGCACTTCACACTACACAGCTGTAACTCCTAAGGGATACTGACTGGACCCCTCTAATTGCCGTTTCACAAGCACTGAGCAAAGACCAAATGCAGATGTGCAAAGAATAACACATCAGCATAGACGCAGTTACAGGCAGGCTTTATTCCAGGGAAAAGTAGCTTTCATTTGGGGGAAAATCTTGCATCTACCAGGCTCCTTTTAGGATGCAGCAAATTGACACCTTGTTTCAGATTTTTTTTAAAAACTAAAAACTTCCAAAGTGTTATAACATGAACATAGGACTTTGCCTAAAAAATTAATTATGATGAAATATGATTTCCTGGGATAAACAGAATTACTTTAGAATTGTCTTTTTGAATACTGATATGAGGGAAAATACACACACACACAAGCGATTGTAGAACATCTATTTATTTAATTTAGAAAGAGTAATAAGCAATTATCAGGGAGAAGATGCACATGGCCAAGTCTCTGAATAGCCCTGGCTGTACGGGTGTCAGCTGGTATCCTCTGCAAGTGGAGACGAACTTACTTGATGTCACACAAAAGGGCCACACCTCTCAGGATCCAGTGATCTGGGGACAAGACTGTTCGCAAATACACCACAGTGATGAAGGTCAAGTCAGTTCGCCTTGGTTTCTTGTAAATAGGACACACGTACAGCTTGGGGTCCTTGGGTGCTGTGGAGTTAATGGCAAAAACGTGCAGCACAGGCAGCTGGGTGAAGAGCACCTTGGGGGTGGATTCTGTGAGCTTCCCACTCCGTCTGTCCCACGCTGCTCCATCTATATAGAGCCCGTAAATATACACACCTTCCTGGAAGAGTCAAGCATAAGGTAATGGGAGTTTTAAAAATTAGGTGCTGTCAGACTCCAAGAAGGGACTAGCGGTTACCAAAGGGAAGGGGCAGGGGAAGGTGGGTGGGAAGAGAGGGAGAAGGGGAGTAAGGGGCATTATGATTAGCACACATAATGTAGGTGGGTCACGGGGAAGGCAGTTTGGCACAGAGAAGACAAGTAGCGACTCTATAGCATCTTACTATGCTGATAGACAGTGATTGCAACGGGGTATTGTGGGGGGACTTGATAATACAGGTGAATGCTGTAACCACAATGTTGCTCATGTGAAACTGTCATAAGCTTGTATAGCAATGATACCTTAATAAAAAAAAGAATGAGGTGCTGTGAGATGGGTATCCATTACTGTAATAAAGATCATCAGCTTGGAGAGAAAGCATATGCCAGTCGTAAAACACTACCTAAAGAAGCAAACACCAGTAGGCATGCTGCATTAGTGAAATCTGAGTCCAGTTCCCCTGCAGCATATCCTGGAGCTCGGAGGGCTGTAGAAATGTCCCTGTTACCAGTTATTTGAGCCTGGGGGTAGCCTGCTTGGGATGACAGATTTAACCAGCAGTGCCAAATTTCCTCTGCAGGGAAGGAAAAATCTCTGAGACGTCTGGTCTGAGTTGGTGTAGGGTGGGAGCATGGAACAGGATTCGGAGCTGGGAGCCACATCGGCTCTCAGCCTGCGCCCAGCAAAGCTCTGCAATAGCTCTAAGTTCATCTCAGTCAGAGGATGAAGTGAGATTTGCACAGCCAGGCCTGGTGAGCAGAAGAGTGGGAGCGCCCAGAGGCCGGGTGTAGTAGAGCGAAGGCAGGTGGCCTGGGCAGGTGTGCTGGGCAGGGAGGGGAAGAACTGGCCCAACAGGGGCTGACTGTCATTCTGGGTCTCTCTTTCACATGACAGGACTTGCTCTCGAGGTCCTCACCATCAAAGCAGGAGACAAGACAGACACATACGCACACACACACACACGGGGGTGAGGGGCATTTAAAAGTGAGTTGACTTCAGCACACACTTGTTAGGGGCTGCTTGGTGAATGGCACCAAGGCCAAGGGCAGTGACTTGAGAAAAGAGGCCGCTGTGGGCTGGCATGCTGAGGGGCCTTTGTGGAGGAGATGGCCTTGAATCGGGATTGAAGGGGGGTGCTGAATTTGGAGAGAGGAGATGCGGTAGGCAGAAGCAATACTACAGAGAAAGGCAGGATGGGTAGGAAAGCCCAAGCACTTTGTTTAGCAGACGGTCAAGTTAGGACTTGACTGTGGAAGAGTCGAGATGCCAAACTGAAGAGTTTGAACTTTATCTTGTAGGCAGCGGGGAGCCAGAGAACATGGGCTTGGGAAGAAAAGAAAGCTAAAGGGAACCACAGGGAAACTCTAATAATCATCTAAGGTCATAAGATATATTTACAGAGATGATGATGACCAAGTTCCATTTCCAGGGAGGCTCAGGCATGGAGAGGTAAATGCAGATTATAATAAAAGAGAGTGAGATTAGTTGCAAAGTGCTTCCTGGAATCCCCTTATGTGAGTTAACTGTTTAAGAACCATATTTTTGAAGCAAAACCTTAAGTCCATGGTTTGATAATAACATCATGGGCAACCCCAGAAAATCAGGACCTATGACTACCATCACTAAGGCGGTGGGTAACAATGAGTACATGAAAAATACAACCACTTTGGTGCCATCCAACAGTAAATTATATCCTTTCTAGGCTCCCTTCAATCTCAGAACTTTACGAAGTTCGAAGGTGTAGCAGATTAACTAGTGTCTCCAAAAAAATTCATGTCCACCTAGAACCTCAGAATTTGGGAAGAGGGCCTTTGCAGATGTACTTAGTTGAGGTCCTAGTGGGTTAGGGTGGACCCTAAATCCAGCATGACTGGTGTTCTTATAAGAAGGGGAGAGGACACACAGAGATACACAGTAGGAGGGCATGCTACAGTGGAGGCAGAGACTGGAGCTGATGCAGCTACAAGGTAAGGAGTGCCGAGGATTGCCAGCAGAGACCAGAAGCTGAGAGAGAGGCTCTCTCAGAATCATCAGAAGAAACCAATCCTACCAATTCCTTTATTTCCATCTTCTCGCCTCCTGAATTCTGAGAAAATAAATTTGTTGTCTTAAGTCACCCAGTGTGCAGTACTTTGTGACAATGGCCTTAGGAAACCAATACAGATCCTGGTCCCAGGAAATGGAATGCTACTGTAACAAACATCTAAAAATGTGGAAATGACTCAGTAATTGCATAATGGGTAAAAGTTGAAAGGGTTTGAGAGGCATGATTGAAAAAACTTCTGTAGCCTGGACCCTAGAGGTTGTTGGTAGAAACACAGATATTAAAGGTGCTTTTGATGAGATCACAGGGTAGAAATAAGGATCACACTGTTGGAAACTGGAGAGGCGATCCTTGTACAGGGCAAAGATCCAGAACTTGGAAATCATCTGGCCCAGCCCCTAATCTGACAATTGAGGGAAGGAAAGTCAGAGAAAGGGAAAAGAGGATTAGAATTCATTGAGTATCTATGTGGAGTCTAGCACCCAGCCTAAATGATCCCATTTTATTCTCACAACATCTTTAAAGAGGTTGAATTATGGGCTTCATTTCACAGATAAAGAAGCCGAGGCTCAAAACACTTAAATAATTTGCCCAAGTTCATACAACAGGTAAGTGTTCAAGCAGAAGCTCCCAATGAGGTCTGCTTATCCTGCCCTCCCCCAACCAGGGTCCTGCAGCTAGCTGGGAACATGCTAGCTGGGAACATGCTGCAACAGGTTCCAGAGCTCAGGGTGGCTAGCACCGTTAGCCTCCTGCCCTCAACACTCATCAGTTCTGTGCATAGCCCGCAGCAGTAGATGGAGGCATGTGTGAGTCCTTTTTAGCAAACACATGGGTAACTTGCAATTATAAAGAAATGCAGTCTGGGGTGTGTCCAGCACTTGTCATTAATTCCTACTCCAGCAAAGGGAGGGGGTGTTGCCATTGAAGTCTCCTGGTTAAAACCAAAGAGACTCTGGCTGCAAAGCCAATGAACTTAACTGAGGCACTCTAAGGTCAGGGCTAAGCAGACCCCGGACTTTCAGCCCCAGTTTCAGAACTGCCCCTGCTATAGTCCAGTGGCACCTACCACAGGAGGTGATGTGATCTCCTCTTTGGTCTGCCGCAGAACTTCGTTGTGGATGGTCACGGAGTCCAGGGCCCAGCCTTTGTGGGCTCTGGTCACTTCTTGTCTCATCGCTGTGAGGAAGCCTTAAGAGAAAAAGAAATGGTTTTGATGCCTTGGTGCGGCCCACTTTAGAGACAAGAAAGGCACAATACTAAACGTTAGCTACTTATCAACCTCCAGATGCGTGCCCGTCCAAGAAGAGTTGAGATCAAACCTCAGGGGGGACATTTCTTTTCATTTTGTTTCTATGGGGACCTGCAAGGAGCTCAATATTTCTCACTGGCTGACAGCAGGCAAAGCAGTACCTCTCTCCCTTGATTTGATATTCTCCTGGGACTTCAACCATTCAACTCTTCTAAGGGTTATAGCCCAGTCCTAGTTCATAGTCCCTTTGAAAATACAGCAGTTAGAAATAAGATTCAAATGGTAAGATATTCTGAGAACAGCATTCTAATTAAAACTTAAATCAAACCATTATCAAGCTTCTATTTGCTATAAGGGGACAATTTCATTTAGCCTAGGAAATAAGGCATAATGCCAAAATAGAAAGCCCAACTTTCAATTTGATCAAACAAAGCAATCACACCGGAAAGGAAAGCTACATGTTTTAATGTGCATAATACAGTTATTTTAAAACAATACATGGTTCTGAGTATTAAGGCCTTTCTTTAAACTTAATATTTGCAAACCATGCCATTCAATTTAATAAAAGAAGTCTTTCTAGGAGAACAGCATTTGATGTTAGAAACTATACCTTAAACTTCAAAATGGACTTTTAAACCTTAGAAAAATTTATCTGTAACCTATATATTACATTTTGGATTCCATGTTAATGTTGAAAATCATGAGGCTCTTTAGTCGTAATCATGAGTAAATTTTGAAATGTTTATGTCCCTGTTATTCCTAGTGGGATCTGGGAACTATTATGCACAAACCAACATGTAAGTGATAATAATTTATCAAGTTTGAATGAGAGTGGAGGAAGAGGAGAAGTTGAAGGCATCATTTCAGACAGTGAGTTAATAACCCTTGGAGTTGGAAAGAAAGAATACGCCACTATTGTGGCTAAATGAGAGAGTGATCTTCCCATTCCCAAGTGTCTCCCTGGTTATTACATTACACACTTGGGGAGGCATGCATTCATTCATTTGTTAAATCTCTCAGCTGTGGCCGCTGTAGAGCAGCCACTGCTCTAGGTGGGATGACCACAAAGATGAAAAGGCCATCCATGAACCCTGCATCAAAGGAGCTCAGTCTAGACAGGGTGTGGAGGGAGGCAGGATCTACATCACAATATCATATGGGCAAAGGTGTGGACAAAGTGAGCCACTCAGGAAAACAGCTCAAGAAAAGCTGAATTGAGAAGGTCAAGTTGAAGGTAACTCTTCAAAGACAAGGAAGTCTTGCTAGAGGAGGTAAGTTCCATTAGAGGAGCAGCATGTGCAAAGGCATAGAGGTCTAGGCTGATGGTGAGGTGATGACGGCAGATACGGTTAGAACATAGGTAGAGGCGGGACTTTTCAGGGTCAGAGTGTGGACTTAATTTTGTGGCTAGTGGATAGCCACTGAATATTTAAAGTAGGCAAGTGATTTGGTTGTATTTGTATCCTGTAAGGTTTACTTGGAGTGCTCGCTAAAACAGGATTTGGGGTGCTAAAAAAGAGCCCTTGCATTAATGCAAAAGAAAAGTCGGTATCAATCAGAGCTGATGGAAGGATTTTTATAGGCGATTCTTATAAAGCTATAGGTTCACAAAACTGAGAATACCTAGTAGGAAAGAATGACGTTATGACACCAGAAGTTAACTACAAGGGGCAAGAAACAGAGTAGACGTTTTCAGGGAAGGAACTGCCTGTCGATGCCCATCCATGCTCCATGTGTGGGATCACCTGAGGTGATTTGATCAGCATAGGATTATGCTTTCATTTTAGATGCTGGGGGTCCCATACTTGCAGTAAAACAAATATTTTGTAGGTTTGCCAGTCAGTGGTATATATGACTGTTGGGAGATGTCATCAAGAGGCTGTGACCACTTGACCCTCAAGCTGGCCCAGGTCAGTCAAAGGCTCCCCACCCCTTCCCTGTCCCTGCAATGTCCATTCTGCTCACCGTTCCTACAGTCGGAACCATTTTCAAGGATGCAGCCTTGAGAGAGCAATGCACTGCTGAGATCATCTGGAAAATGTAAGGCAAGTGAACCCAGTTAAGGGCCCTCTGCAAACTTTTAAGATTTGGTGGGTGGGGGCAGGTGCAGAGATCTGTTCATCTTGCGGCCACTCAGGTCAGGACTTGTATGTAAGTTACTCACTTATTAAAACTGCCACCTACCAATCTGGAGTGGCCTGTACCTTTTGTCAGTCTGCGTACAGGGCTGGTTTCAGATGACACCTGGACACCTCTCCAGGAGGCTGCAAACCAACAACTGGTGAGCCAACCAGGAGACCAAAGAAATGAGCCTTGTGAGAAAGAAAGGTATCTGAGGGGTGGATTACTGAGTCGGCCATCAAGGTCTGCTGGCAGGGGAAGGGCCCATATGTCAGATGCATGCATGAACTGGGACACCCTGAAAATGCTGGCTGCTCTAATGAGGTTGTGAAACTGCACACAGCACAGTGCAGCAAGAGAATCCCTGGGGAAGTGATGAGAGGGCAGAGGAGATGCTGTGGTGACCGACGAGGAAGTGGATGAAATGCCCTGTGCCCTCGGACCCTAATCCAGAGGACAGCAGTATTAGCCCCAGCCAGTGGGGTGGCCCCCAGCTGAGGAAACATTCGTGATGAGAGAATTTGCTCCCACGGAGCTTACTGATTCAGCTGCCAAGTTCCAGCAAAAAGCCAGGGGAAATAGCACGGTGAGTGTGGCTGTGGGATGTGGGGCAGTGGCATTTCTGTCACGGAGCTGGAGGCAGAGAAAATGGCACCATCACCACACACCCTGCCCTCCAGCAGCACCTGCCTGGTGTTGGTGTCAGGGGTCCACACCACTTGCTCCCTTACAGACTGGATTATTCTAGGCTGCAGAGAAGCTTGGCTCAATAAGGGGAACAACAAATTCACAGAGAGTTGGGAATGAGAAAGCCCTGATCGGACCACAGTCACTGCAGGAATGAAAGCTTAGCTTCTCCAGCCCACCGTCAGCACCTGGTAGGGGACGCTGACATCCATGCTGAGCCCAGTTCTGAGATTAGATATTTATGATGTTGGGCAATCCATTGCTGATCTAGGGGAAACTGACAGATCCAGGGAATGGCCATGGGTGGTAGGAAAGATCTGAGTCAGAGAGGAAGCTCCAAAACCAAAAGGCTTTTTCAGTCCACTGTAAAGGGCCTAGTAAAAATGACCCAGAAGAAAATGAGGTTTGACCTCATTGCTGCAGGAACCCCACCTGAACCTCCCTGTGTGGGTTGGTTTATGGAAGCCTTAAAACCTGCACAACAGGTTCAATCTGCTTGCTCCATCTGGCCCTGCCATGCCTGAAGCTCTGCCTGTCCCAACAGAGGTCTCAGGGATACAGTCCTATTAGAGTGTGGGCCTCCCATGCCCTGGGTAGAGGACGCAGGCTGTGACAGCCCCCAGGTAAGGTTGTTAGATGTGATCGGAGGCCTCATGTTGAGCTCACTATTTATGGTCCCCCAGGAATAAACAAAAGGTGACAGCTCTGGTAGATAAAGAGCCGAATGTATGCTAATACACGGTCACCCTCAGAAGTTTTCTGGCCCCCTTGGTGCCATCAATGGTTATGGAGGGCAAATGCTTATGGTCAGAAGATCCTTTTGACCCTGCAAATTGGGCATTCTACCCTCTAGGAACATGAGGTCTTTATCCCTCCAATACCAGAGAACATATTGGACATTGATACCCTACAAGGTCAAATTCTGCAAACCTCTATGGGTGCCTGCTACCCCCATGAAGAGTGGTAACTGTCAAACAGCAGAAACTGCTTGGGGGGGCATAAGGAAATACGAGAAACTATCCAGGGACTGCACCAAGTGATAGTGTACAGCCTGCCCGTAATGCTTGCAACAGCTCAGTTCAGCAGGTAGAAAGGCCAGAAGGCTCAGAGACTACCAAGGACTGAACAAGGTCGCACCCCCATTCAAGGCTGTGCCTAACACTGCCACCATCTTAGATACCTTGGCCATGGTCCTGGGAGTGTGCCATGCTGTGTAAAACTTAACAAAGGCCTTTTTCAGTTTAACACTGGCCACAGAGTCACAGGATCCATTTGCCTTCATGTGTGAAGCTGCCTGCACAGACCACCACAGGTGATGGAATACTAGCCCAGGACCTGACCCTGATCTCCTTCCTCAGGTCAGCAAAACAGGTCCATTACGCTGACGCTGTAATGCTAACTTGTGAAGACTTGCCTCTGCGGCAGGACAGCAGGCTTTGCTGGAACATCTTTGAGGGAAGGATGACAGTGAAGCCCCAGGAAATTCAAGGCCCAGGCTCTGCCATTAGGTTCTGGGAGTTGTTTGGTTCAGTAAGACAACTGTTGTCCCAGAAGCTATAACTGATAAGATCAAAGCTTACCCGACCCCTAAGAATGTGAAAGAGGTGCAAGCCTTTGTAGAGTTTCTGGAGTTTGGAGGACCTTTATTCCCCACCTGGCATACTGCCTCCATCCCTTACACTGTCTGGTAAAGGAAGGGCATATACAGGACTGTGAGTTGGAGCAGGAAGACCCCTTTGAGAAGGCAAAGATCCTAGTGAAGCAGATAAGTGCTCTGGGCATCTTCCAAGCAGGGCTGCCATTCAAACTAGATGTGTCTGTGACTCTGGAAGACACAGGCTGGGCACTGTGGCAGAAGAGAAGAACAGAAGCGGAGAGTGCCCCTAGGATTTTGGAACCAGGTCTGGAAGTGGGCAGAAGCCCAATAGCCCATAACAGCCCCTAGCAGTGTTCACAGTGCTCTCGCAGGTAGAGTCTCTCAGGGAGAAATTAACTATAGCAGCCTGCAGGCTGAACTCAGAGCTGTTTGTCTGGCGATAATGAGCCCTGGCCATTAATCCTTTGCATTGACAGAAAGGGAAGTGTGGCCTGGCCAGTGGGTCCTTGTGGGGTCAGGATATATGGGGGGACA